CATCTACAAGCCCGCCACACCCAACAAGCCGCTGCCGCGTGGAGAGCGGGTCACCGTGCTTGTAAAGCCCGGCATCAAGACAGTCAATGGCACCGTGCTGCCAGGTAGATGGACAGGGAGGGGAGTGCGGCAGGGGGGAAGGGAACGGGGCAACACGCCAGGCTGGTGGTGGCACTCACTCTCTTGGGCGCCTGTGCGTGTGCGTGCATGTGTGTGTGTGCGCGCGTGTGTGTGTGTGCGAATGCAGGCGTTAAGTGGTCATTCACTGTGTCAGGGAAGGACCCTGATGGTGGCTATCCCGGTGCACGCTTATACGCGGGCAACGACTGGGCCCCAATCGAGCCGAGAGGAGATCGCAGCTTTCCCTTTGTTTCCGACGATATTGACGAATCGGAAATCGGCCGATGGCCCCCGAAGGATGCGGCTGGTCAAGTTCCCCTTCCACCCCCTGTGGCTGACATGGAGGAGGGGTGGTACCAAGCAGCCAACCACACACTCACAGAGAGAGCAGCGTGCACACATCACACGTGAAATGGCTCACCCGTGCAGGTACGAGGCGCCCTACAACTATTACAAGACCATCCCCGACCATCTGCCGCGGATGCGGGTTCGGGGGAAGCCCAAGTATGATCAGCTTGCTCCAGGCTATTTCTTCATGTCAAACAAGTAAACTGAGACGACACAAACCGCGTGGGCTGGCTGGTGGATGTATGATGATCCGTGGTGGATGTTGCAGCATCTTCGACACGGAACCCTTTGGCCACGTGTGGCACCCAGCAGTGATGGTTGTGGACAACCATGGCGATCTTGTCTATCACGAGTACCTGGGACAGCAGAACTCGACGCGGGGAAATGGTGCAAGCGTCATTGAAATGTCGCCGAAGATGGGGCTGCTGGTGCAAAAGCCGAGAATGGGCTGCGTGCTCGAGAAAGACCAACACTTCAACTTCGAGCGACGGCATCATCCCGAACATGGTCAGTGAAAGATCTAATCTACGTCAAGACCAAGAGAGACCTCCCTGCCTTTTTTCTCTCCCTTTGTCAGGCTACAAGTGGGACCCACACGACATGCGGATGAACAAGGAGGGCAATCGGGTCTTTACCATCGACG